TGAGAAGTTTGACAGCTTAACTGCAAGCCCCATGAGGATCCATCTCCTTTGTGTGTGTTTGGAATACGCCCTTCAGCTTTCCTGTAGGCAGCCCATGTGTCGTCTTTGCGCTGCTTATGGGGCAACATAATTAAAATCTAAAACCTAGCCGTTTTCCCAGGCTTTGCTATGCTTATTATCTAGATGAAAAAAGCAAAAGACAGAGGAAATAAGGCCAAGAAAGGAGTACCATGTTTTAACAATGAGCATAGTCTTTGTTAGTCTAATGTTTTGAGGAAGTCTGGAAAGGATTCCCCAAGGCCAGTTGGGAAGGCTTTGGCCCTTAGCTCGTTCATAGTTCTGCTTCTGAGTTCTGGGTTTTGGTGGTGGTTTTTTTTAGCATGAACTGGTACTTCGTCAACATGGCAGGCAGGGAAAGAAGCTGTCTTCTTGTTTTTCTCCCTTTTCTCTCACCAAATGTCTTAGCTGCTCAGCTTGATTCAAGCCTTTCATTTCAATGGGATACAGCCTTCTTTAAAGGCACCACTTACAATTTCTCCTGTCAAGCACCTTAAAAGATGCATACATATCAAGTATATAACCATATACAACGTAATACACAATCATATGTGTACTATTATTCATGGTATTATTCAACATATGTGAAGTTTCATTGTTGAATTAGAGCTATACATAATGTTTTGGAACAAAAACAAATTTTCAGCTGTGGCTCAAGTGGTTGTGGTTTATAGGGGCTGTACTTCTGTTTTCAATGAGAAGTGCAGACAGTACCATTAAAAACTTAAGAAAAATCAGTATTCCAACTGTGAGAGGGTTTTGAGGACGTTGAAAAAGTGATTTATTAAAGAGGTAACTTAAACTGAGTTTTTTATAGCAGCTAACATCAGTTAGGGATATGCTATAATTTCTAATATGTCTGGTAAGGCTTTGTAGTCACAAATCAGTTGTGTACTTTTAATCATTTTTGACTTTTGATGAAAGGATGTATTTGAAAGTCAGATACTTGTTCTTTGAGCCTTACTGCAAAATGAACAAGGAAAAATTACATGAAACATACAGCGAATAGCAAGGAGAAAGCTGGAAACTGTTACTTTTCAGTTGAAGCTGTGCAGGAATTCCTGTGGCACAGTAGCCGGGCTGCTGGATACTTTAATTCTTATTTTTCTTAATGCAGAATTGTGAAAATCTTCCTTAAGCATTTGTAGATGGAACATTATATGTGCTATATTAAGACAGTGCAGGATTCAGAAGAAAAGTGAAGTTGTTCAAAAGACAGGCTTTTGTACTGCGTTGACAACTGGGCTAAGTCGGTGCACTTTCTGTGTTCTGCTGGTTCTAGCACTTTACCACCCAGCAGTGTATAACATTTGAGTTACATTTGGCAGATGTTTTGTGGACCCAACTGGAAAGACCATGGTCCTTGTTAGGCTTTCCATTTTTTTTTCTTTTTGTTTGTTTGTTTGTTTTGAGGGATTATTTTTTCCATTTGGTTTTAAGGTCATGATTCCAGGATGCAGGAATAACCAACAGTGTCAAAGGACAGCACAGATTTTCTTGCTTGTTTGCTTGCATAACAGTCCTCGTGTACAGAGAGTAGGAATTGCAAGTGAAAACCTAAAATGCTTTCTACAAAGACTGGACAGAAATTTAGGAACAGTTTAGTGCCTCAGAGGGAATAAATTGTGAGGTCTGTGGCTGATGTAATAACTTGTATCCTATTGCATAACCAGATCCCTGTGTGTATTTTTTCCTAAACATCTTCCACCACCTCCTTAACCCTGCTATCTGGCCTTCACTCTGTGTATTCACTTGAAACTTAATCTGTATTGGAAAGGAAAAATATTTGAGCTTAAACTGAGAAGTGATCATAGGCTGGATATTTTGATTAACGAAGGCTGTGGATTACAATAATCATATCTATGTTTGTGCTTAAATGCTTAAAACACAATAAGCTAGTACAGTCCTTAATTATAAACTTGTGTATTTAATAGCGTTCTCTTCTCTTTTCAGTGTAACCATGCATTGTTCACTTTTACTTTCAGAATAAGTGTGCATTGTTATTCTTACATCTTATTCTGGATAGTAATTGGATAAAACGTAGTTTATCTTAGTATAAACTACTTCGAAATTACAAAGGCCTTAACTAAGGTGTGAGGGAGGAGCAAAATGTGAGCAAACCTGTTTTTAAAAATATAGCTAAATTGCAATAATGATGGGTACTAGTATATGGAATATAGCAAAATGGCTAATGGAAGTGGTTTAGTAATTTATTTTTTTCTTGAAATGACAAGGGAGTGGTAGCACTTCTTTTTTAAAGGCAGGGAAGAATTCTTGAGATGCCTTTTAAATTTCATTTTGCTTTCACACCCAGTCCAGGTTCCAGAGGAATAACTGTGTGGTAACCAGGCAGTGGTTCATCTCGCTGTTACTCCTGTTGGAGTGTGGATATCATACTGGCAAGATGCAAAAAACCGTTAGAAGTGCGTTTTCATTAGACCCTTCATAACCTCTTTAGAGGCAAAGGTTTTGTAGCAACAGTTCTTGTTAATGCCATAAACATTTTGACATCTACTTAAAGCCTGTCTTTGGTCTGAGTTTTGCTAAATAAATAGTTTTGTCAGAAAGTAGTTATTTAGTGACTTGCATTTGGTTATATTGTTTAGTTGGAGATCAGTTGTCTGCAATATTGGGACAACTTCTTGAGGATGCCTGTTTTAGATAGACTGGCTACCAACTGCAGGTTGCAGCCCTTGCACAGTTCTTGTGAGCTCGTATTTTTGACTAGTGTCTTAAGGTTAATAATGAGCCTGATGCTGTTATTAGCAGTATCACATCTTTATATCGTTTGTTGTTCTGTAAATCCTGTCCTGCATTTTGCCAGTTACATCTTAAAGTACAAAGTAGGAATGTTTCACTGTATTTTAAATTTAATCTCTTGTATTGTAGAAATTATAATTCAGCTTTTGTTAAAGTGAAATCCTCCTTGGAATCTGGCGTAAGCATCGTACTGATACAGAAGGAAGAGCTGAAGGAAGGAATGATACGGACTGCAAAGTCCTTGTACTAGGAATTTCTGCATTCTGTTTTTCTTTAGATATAAAGAGCAGTGTGGAGCATCTGCCAGTATTCTAGTGCACAGGTTAGAGTGCCACTGGAGATGCCTACTCGTGTTATAGTCTGGTGCTTACTTACTTCCCCTCTTAAATACATTATCAAAAGTCATTATTCATGAAATGGAATAAACTGGAATTTCCACTTTAATTCAACTGTGGAAATTGCAAATTCCCTGACTTGAAAAACAGCTCTTTACAACATGTGTTGAACAGCACTGTCTTGCTAAGTGTGCTCACAGTGCCAAAAGATAGCTTTTAGGTTAAGCAAACACTAGTTACTGACTGACTGATAAACTGCAGAGCAAGCCTTTCCACCTCTATTTAGCTGATAAACTTTATCAAAAGATGGACTATTTGACAAAGAGCAATTTTCTGTAAATATATTGAGTGCTATCCTCTGCTTTTTAGCAGTGCAGATCCATTGGTAAATTAGGTTTTCTGACTCAATGTTGAACAGCAGCGGATGTGGAAGCAATGTCAAGAGAGAATTTATGCTGCGAAAGGTGTGCATCTCTTTAATAGATAAAAATCTTGGTCAAGTGTCTGAAGTTTTATCTGCACCCTTCCAGATAGGAATTCTACATTTGGAACAGCTGTAAAATTCTGAGTAATAGCTCAAAAACTTGTAATTAGATAGGCTATCAGTTAAAATTTCTCAGTATGTTTGCCAGCTTGTTTTGTCCAAGTGAAATATGGAAGTTTCCTCTGTCACAGCTTTGGCAATCCAGCGGCGAGTCTTCTAGCAGAGACATTCCTTAAAACATGAAATCTTGACACTTTGAAGAGCTTAGTAAATTGCTAAGGGGTGCAAACTGTGTAACTCAGCATAGCTTTGAAAACAGTACGTAGCTGCAGCGTTAGGATGCAGATATAGGACAGCTTTAGTTGGTTTGTTAGTAGTTTTGGTTCTTTTGGCTTGACTGGACGTACTGTTCTCAAAACGTTGAAAGCGCAATGGGCTGCATGGAAGGCTTGAATTTTCTTTAGGGAAAAGGGTGTTCAGTAATTTGCTTGAGGTAGTTGCAGTCGTTTGTCTTGGTTGAATTGCCAGCCTGTCTGTGCATTAGTCAGCCAGCAGCATTAAAAAATAATCCAGACTGGAAGACAAGGAATGTTCTGTTGGCTTACAAAACTGTCTTCTGTTCTTAGTACATCAGTACAGTGTTTTAAATAAATTGGAAAATGAAAGGTGAGATTTTTACTACTGATTTTCAGTGTGTGTTAGGAGGAAAGGAGGGAGGGGACCGCAGTCTAAAGGTTGTCTTAGATTTTAAAGGGTATTTGGGTATAATCAGATTTTTATTTAAAATAATCATAAATCTGACCTGTTGTTGAGCTAGAGTGAGCTAGTGTTGGGAGAGAAGGGAGGATTAACGTCAGTTTGTAAGACTGCATTGGCCTACCTAGGTGGTATTTTATTTCTGTAGTTACAACTCTAAGTCCTGCTATTCAAAGAATTACTAATCTTGTGAAAACTTTCATGACTAGAATTTAGACCTGCTTTTTGCATACACGCACATACATCTATAACAACAGATGAACTGCCACTGAGCATTCTTGTTTTGGGCAGTAACTTCTCTATAGTACAGTGTAGTAGCAAAGGATTACCAATATTACTAGATTGTAAGATTAAACTTTATAATTGGTGGCTAAAACAGTGTAAGACTGCATACTCTGCATTTTAGTTAGCGTATGTCTACATTTGTTAGAGAACTGGTTTGTTTTGGTTTTTTATTTTTGCTTATCGAACATCAGAACATTGGCTTTCTCTAAACTGACTTTGTTTAGAAGCAAACACTTAGGGGACTAAAAAAAAAAGCAGATCCAAAGCCCTTTGCCATCACTACCCCTAGCAGTTTGGAGAGTACATTCCAGCTGTGTGCTACAATGCCGTATTTACAGGGGAGCCGTAAAGACCCGAGTACAGACTTGCACTCCAGCAAGGAAGGCAAAACTCCAAGGTCAAACCTTTAGGAAAATTCCAAAGGCCTTGAGGGAAAGCTGTCAGTATTACAGCTTGCTTTCATTTAAAATTGCTTTCATTTCATTCACTTAAAATGGAGACGCAAGTTACAAAAAAATGCATGCGTACAGGAAATGTATCTCGGAGTAAAATAGTTAACACATTGAATACTTGGAGAGCCAATTTATTTGCTTTCTACACGGCATGTTAACTTTGCTAATTATGTACAATGAGAGTTACTGCTTCTGGTGCCTGAGCTGGTGGTTCAGGTAACTGTACTGTGCTACAGATGGCTTTGCTTGCTTTCACTGTAACTGATGGGGCTTACATAAGCTTCTAGAAGGACAAGGGCTTTAGGAGTCCTTCTGAGAGTTTCTAAAAACAGGACTGTATTGAAGGAAATAATAAACATTCATCATATCTTACTTTTTCTTGCCTGTGTAACCATTGGGTCAATCTGCTCTTACACCTTTATTATGAGACATGAAGGTCTTTGAGTCTGATAAATACTTCATCCTCTGTGCAAGTAACGTGTCTGTCCTCTGTGACATCAGGAAGAGGGAGACATGATGAATCTGCTCCAAAAACTTTCTTAATATCATCTTAGCAATAAATATACGTCAGTAAAAACATAGCAATGTTGCAGTTAAAAATCTTTGCTATTGTAAAGTGTGTGTATGCTACTTTTAAGTTCACTATTTTTTTTTCCTACTTAAAGCTGAATTAAGCTTTGTGTTCACTGATAAAAGCATTCTTTGGAATTAATGGTAGCAGTTATATTGGCAGTGAAAATGTGTTTCCTTGTGAATAATGCAAAAATCTGTATACATAAAAATATGCACTAAACTAATCTATGTATGTGTTTTCTTTTTGTTGTTTTTTTTTTTCAGTAAAGTGAAGCAAGGTCTTCTTCCTAGCTTAGAAGATCTACTTTTCTATACTATTGCAGAAGGACAAGAAAAAATACCAGTTCATAAATTCATAACTGTAAGTTTACTGTTCCAGAGTGCTGTATGAAAGCTAAATAGTACAAGAGATTTTTTTCTTAATATTCTAAAAGCAAGAATAGAAAACAAAGAATTTCTGTTTGTACATGGTTAGCTGCAGCAGGGAATGTAACTATTCCGCCCAACCCTGATGTTGTTTATTTAATTAGAATGAGTGTACTAGTATTGTTATTCACTTCTGGTGTGCAAAAGAGTATGCTTGAAAGCATCTGTGTCTGTGGCAGGGCTGGGTAGTATTTTTACTTGTCTGAAATGTAGTTAGATCACTCTGGCTTTCAAACGGCGTTAATCCTTTGACATCAGACTGAGCCAAAATGGCAAAAGGAAATGGCAAAAGGATCAATAAGGTGTTAAAATGTCCCTGCTAATACACAGTGGCAGATGTCTCTTATTTGGTAAATAACTGAGCAGTAGAGAACTTGATTGTAATAGCATATCTTTTCATGTTAGTAATTACTGTTTTATTGTAATAGGCGCTCAAATCTACAGGATTACGTACATCTGATCCCCGGTTGAAAGAGTGCATGGATATGTTAAGACTGACCCTTCAAACAACTTCAGATGGTGTTATGCTGGACAAAGACCTTTTTAAAAAGTAAACTTTCTGTCAATCATGTAACTGTATTATTCTGAATGAATGTTGTCTGTGTCTTTCTTACTGCTATCTTAGGAGAGGTGTAAGGTATATAAATAAATAATGTAATTAGAACAGGAGTCAAACACTCCTGCTGATGCTGTTTTCATACCAGTTTGTTCTCTGGTTTCACGCAGCAGACAGATTGTGTGATCTCCACAAGAGTTTAATGTATCGGTGTTGTTTGCATGTGTATCTGACCCCATACTGCAACTCTTGGTCAGATGCCAAATAAATTAATTGATGCAGCGTGGAGTATTTAGTTATGGGTACATAAACTGACGGTGCAGCAAGAGAGAAGTTTTTTCATGGGAAGTTTAGGGTGCTTCTGTGTACGGTGTGTTCAGAATATGTATGGAGTTCTAAAAGTGAATCTGAAAAAAGAGTGTTTAATTTCAGGATGTAGAAAGTAGTGCATTTAGTGCTATAGACAGTGTTTTGATCTGTTTTGGAAAAGACTTTTGTTCCATATTTTAGAGATGTTTTTTCTTTAAGCAAAGTCTGCTCAGTTTGCTGAACAACATAAGTACTGTTCAGGTTGTCTTCAGTTCATTCCCAGCACACACCTTTGCTCCTCTACTTCAAGTTTTTGTGTGCCAAATGATTGGAAGTTTAGAGGCTCTTACATGTTGAAATGAAATTTGTAGACTAATTTGAGTCTATACATTGTAATTGACGTATGCTTCTTTCGTGAAGAGTATACTTTTGTCAAAATTGGTATGCTTTTGTTGTTCCATAGCACTTTTTGAATTTGTGACCTAATGCTGTTTAGTGCTATTTCCTCTCAGTTAAAATATAAAATATATGTGTATAAAAGGTGCATTTATGTATGTAATTGCTTATATATTATGTAAGTATATTAAATATATAGTATACAGTATGTCCTTATAGTATATTGCATATTTACATAGTTTGTACAAATATAAACTTGAAGTATTATACATTTTAAAAAGATTATATATAAACTTTTTTGGGAGTACATTGAGAAAAAATGCATGTGTATGTGTGTGACAAAACAACAGGCCAGTCAACTCCTTAGTTAAATGTAGGGTATTTCTTAAAGGTACAACATGGACTAACTTTATTAATGTATTTAGTTCAAGACCAGCTCTTTACTCGTTATTTTTCAGCACAGTAAAAACTCTGAAATTGTTACAGAGTCAGAAACCTTCGTGGGTGTATGGTTGTATTGGAAAGGAAATGCTTTTGCTATTATGCATTACATTTATACTAGAAGGCTTGTTTCTAAGGGCTGAAGATTAGTGTGTGGTGTTCTATGTCGTATCTCTTGGATTTGGTCCTCTGTGTTAGGGGAGTGGTTGTTCCTATTGTCAACCAAGACAAGTGGAAATTACGTGTAAAATATTTTAGCTCACGCATCTATACTGTCTGTCTTTTTAATGGACGCTTTAATGACTTTTTAAGGGGTTCTAAACATTAGACTCCAATTTGACTAAAATTTCTTTATTTTGAAGATTTTTTGCTTTACAGTGCTTTCCACTTGAATAAAAACTTCCATGTTAAAGGCAGAACGACTTTGATTTTTAATCTTTTATCTCCAGAGCTTCTTGAATTGAAGGCTGCACATTTCAGAGAGAGTGCTTGACAAATGTCTTGAATTAGCTGTTCATGTTGCATCTGTATAACGTAACTCGTGGTCTTTGTAGCATGAATGATATCTTGCTGAGAGCAGCCTACTTACTGAAAGCACTGCAGCATGCTAGTTAGCTTGCTATGTGATTTATTTTTTTTTATTGTCTTATTTTTGGTATCCTAGCTATGGTACTACTTAATAAAGTAGTAGTAGTAGTACTGTCTAAATATTGTTAGATGAAGCTCGGGCAACTTAACAGATACGGAAGATTGTACACTCTAATCTTCCCCATGAAGTGTGCACATTCTGACATTTTTTTAGTTCTATTTTTATGGCAGTGTAGCTGATTTGTAGAAAAAGTTCTAATAATCTTTGTAAGAAACCCTGCTACCCCTCTTAGCTTTTCCATTCAGAGACACCTCGTTGCTAACTGTAAAATAGACTTGCAAAAAGTCCTATTTCTCATCTAGCAGTATTTTGGTCATTGGTGGAGGCAGGGAAGGAAAGGCATGAGGCAGTCAGAACTGAGTTATTTTGAAAATGATGTGAACTTGAATGAGATGATAGCTTCTGAGTAAGGTTTAAACTTGTTTCTGTTTCAGAATAACCTGGCTTTGTAGACTTAGCCCGTGTTACAGGGTGCTGCCTGTCCCGCTTTTGTTGACTTAAAAGTGTGTTCTTGGTAGCCAGATCTCTTCTGATCTGTGGGTAGGAAGCAGCAATCTGGGTATGTTAAGTTCTAAGCATAATCCTGACAATCTGTTGCTGGATCTCAAACAGGGTTATCTGTTTGCTGCTGAGCGGCTCTGCTGGTCTTTCAATCTAGATAGCAAATCCTGAGGAAAACTTTCATTTTAGATACGCTTAACCCAGGTATTAACAAATGTTTTAGTCCTATTTGAGCAATTAGAAAGCTTTTGACAGTAGACAAAGAGGACTTCTGCTATGTTACAGTATTAATACCTCATTTGTCAAAATAATGTCACTTTTTTCCCCCTAAAATGTCTAAATACGTTGAACGCTTCTACAGACCTAGTCTTGCTAGTTGGAAATGGAGTTTTACATTCCTTTCTGTAGTGCTTATGCTGTAGCTTTTTAAACAGGGAAAAAAGGTGTCCATTCAGCTGTATAGGAAGCCTAGCAGTTCTTTGGAATTGGTGGGAGTTCAAACTGTGTTTTTAGCACTTGCCTCTTTGTGTAGGG